CCAGGCCCTGAGTTCAAGCCCCAGGACTGGTATTAAAAAAAAAAAAACCTGACAGATTGTGTTAAATTACAAACTTTTTGCATAGCAAAAGAAACAGGAGAATAAAAAGATAACCCACAGAATGGAAAAATCTTCACAAGCCACTCATTGGACAAAAGATTAATACCAAAACATATAAATGCTCAAAACATTAAATACCAAAAAGAATCTAATAAATGTGAAAATGAACTGAATAGGCAGTTCTCAAAGGAAGTACAAAAGGCAAACATATATACTGAGAAATGTTCAGCATCCCTACCCCAAAAGAAAACAAGGTAACTGTGAGATTACATCTTACCCTAATCACTGAATGGCTGTCCTAAAAACAAACAGATGCTGTAGAGGCTAGGGAGGCTGGGATGTTGTTGGGAATGCAAATGAGTGTAGGCCCTATGGGGAGGCTGGTTGGGGTGTTGTTGGCAATGCAAATGAGTGTAGGCCCTATGAAAAATCATTATGGTGGTTTACCCAAAGAGTTAAATCAGAACTGTTTTATGATCCTGCTATACCACTCTTGGAAACACATCTGAAGGAATATAAATCAATGTACAATAGAGACACCTGTACACCTGTTTTTAATAGCAGCAAATATGTAATAGTCAAGGTATGGAATATGCTCACATGTCCCAAAATAGAAGAATAAAGGAAATATAGCACATATATACAATGCAGTGTTCATAGCCATAGCTGGGTGTTGGTGGCTTAGGCTTGTAATTCCAGCTAATCAGGAGGTTGAGATCTGAGGATCAAGGTTCAAAGCCAGCCCCGGTAGAGAAGTCCTTGAGATTGTTAACTCCAATTAATTATCAGAAAACTGGAAGTGGAGTTGTGGCTCAATGTGGTAAGAGCTCTAGCCTTGAGCAAAAAAACCCAGCTCAGCAACAGGACCCAGGCTTTGAGTTCAAGCCTTATGACTGACCAAACACACGAATGCGTGCACGCGCGCGCGTGCGCGCGTGCGCGCACACACACACACAGACACACACACACACACACACAAAATGTTCCTTTCAGAAAATATGAACTAGAAGCCGGCTGCTGGTGGCTCATATCTGTAATCTTAGCTACTCAGGAGGCTGAGATCTGAGGATCGAGGTTCAAAGCCAGCCCAGGCAGGAAAAGTCCAATAAACCACCAGAAAACTGGAAGTGGCGCTGTGGCTCAACTGGTAGAGTGCTCACTGGCCTTGAGGTGAAGAGCTGAGGGACAGCACCCAGGCTCAGAGTTCAATCCCCAAGACTGGAAAAAAAAAATGAACTGGAAACCAGGCACCAGTGGCTCACTCAAGTAATCCTAACTCTGAAGGCTGAGATTTGAGGATTAAGGCTCAAAGTCAACCCTGGGTGAGACTCTTATCTCCATTTAACTACCAGAAACCAGAAGTGGTGCTGTGGTTCAAGGTGACAGAGCCCTAGCATTGAGCTAAAATAGTGATAAAACACTTAGAGACAGACTCCAGGTGCTGATATAAACCCCACAACTGACAAAACAAAACAAAACAAAACTGGAGGTATCATGTTGAATAGGATAAACTTAGCTCAAAAGATAAATATCGCATGCATTCTTTTTTTTTGTGGGGGGGGCTGGTCGGGCCTGAACTCTGGGCCTGGGTGCTGTCCCTCAGCTCTTCAGCTCAAGGCTAGTGCTCTACCACTTGATCCACAGCGCCACTTCCAGGTTTTTTTCTTTTTGCTTATGTGGTGCTGGGGAATGGAACCCAGGGCCTCATGCATGCAAGGCAAGCGCTCTACCACTGAGCCACCTTCCCAGCCCCAGTGCTTTCTCTCTTTTGTGGAATCTAGGCCCAAAATAACACATGATTACAAAAGGTGGACTGTTGTTGGTAGTGGTGGGGACAAATGAAAGAGGGGAGAGGAAAAAGAGGGCAATGGGGTAAGTACGATCAAAATGCATAATGTACAGGTATAAAAATAGCACAATGAAGTCCACCGAAAACAAAATAGTGGTAGGAGAGGAAAGAGGGGAGATACAGATTGAAGGAGGGGGTTCAGTTTGGTCAAAGTACATTGTATATATGCATAGAAATAGCACAATGATTTTTTTTTTTGGTTGGTCATGGGGCCTGAACTCTAGGCCGGGATGCTGTCCCTCAGCTCTTCTGCTCAAGACTAGCGCTCTACCACTTGAGCCACAGCACCACTTCCTGCTTCTTCTGCTTATGTGGTGCTGAGGAATCAAACCCAGGGCCTCAAGCATGCAAGGCAAGCACTCTACCACTGAGCTACCTTCACAGCCCTTACAAGGACATCTTTTTAAAGGAACAATTAAGAAATGCTAATAAGGGGACTGAGAATGTTGAAGGGAAGACACGAATCAAAATGCGTTTCATTCATAAAGTGCTTTTTATATAGTACCTCCTTTGTATACCTAAAGATTAAAAAAAAACTTGTAAGATATCCTAAGTGTGTGTGTGTGTGTGTACGCCTGTCCTTGGGCTTGAATTTAGGGTCTTGGAGATTTTTGCTCAAGATTAGCACTCTACCATTTGATCCACAGTTCCTCTTCTGGCTTTTTGGTAGTTAATTGAAAAGAAAAGTCTTGTGGACTTTTCTACTTGGGCTGGCTTTGAACCAAGACCCTCAGATCTCAGCCTCCTGAGTAGCTAGGATTAAGGCATAATCCACTGGCACCTGGGTCCTACATACATTTTTATCCTTCGAGTTTATGCAGATTTTCAGAGAATCATTGTATTTTCACATCTAAATCAAAATAAGTTTGGAAAAACTTATTTTGAATATAGTTTCCTCAGAGAGGAACCTCTAAGAGCTAGAACTCAGAAGTGGAGCTGTGGCTCAAAATGGTAGCACACTAGCCTTTAGCAAAAAGAGCTCAGGGACAACACCTGGGCCCCAAGTTCAAGCCCATGACTAACCACCCCCCCCCCAAAGAGGAACTGTAATAGGCCTGACATTCTTTATAGCTTTTATACCTTACTTTGAAAGGAAAGAAAATTACTGAAGGAAGTTCCTTACTGATCAGGAAGTGAACAGGTTTTAAAGGAAGACAAAGATTAATACCCTGTGTTGAATACAGAAAGCATTCTGGACAAAAGGAATGAAGAGTGCAAAGGCCTTGTGCATGTGAGGTAAATGCTATGCCGCTTGAGCTATGCCCCCAGATAGTCTTGTTTTTAAAAGATGATATATATTCCATAAAGTTAATCATGGGATGATTAATGAAACAATGGCATGAAGTCACTGTCTGTAGTGTGTCTCCAAGTATACATGAGGAAGGAACAACCAATTTGATTCACCTTTAGTACAAATTAGGAGGGACGACAGCATCTATAGGCATCTAGGTGCAGAATGAGTTCACACATATGTATATACACACACCTGACATATAGAAGGTATAGAACAAAGTTTGAATTGGTGGTAGTGAAAGGAGTTATGGTGCTGGGGACTGCACCTAGTGTGTTGTACATACTGGGCAAGCAGTGCTCTACCACTGAGCTACACACCAACTTTTGTGTTTTATTATTATTATTTTTTTGGTCCAGTCGTGGGCCTGAACTCTGAGCCTGGGCACTGTCCCTCAGCTCTTCAGCTCAAGGCTAGCGCTCTACCACTTGAGCCACCGGCGCCATTTCCAGCTTTTTTCTTTTTGCTTATGTGGTGCTGAGGAATGGAACCCAGGGCCTCAAGCAGGCAAGGCAAGCGCTCTACCACTGAGCCACCTTCCCAGCCCTACTTTTGTGTTCTAGAAAGAGATTACTAACTACTTGGGCCACAGTCTGTTATTTTACTAATCAGTGTGTTATTAAGACAAAAATACTGGACTTTAGAAATTTGTGCAAAGCAAAACACAGGTGAAATCCTGACATAAATGGTATTTTGTTAGGATTAGTTGGCCATACACAGTATGTGTTAAAAAAGAAAAAAAGATTAAGGGTTTGGATGGAATTGGAAGAGATGGGGAGAATGATAAAAAGGTGTGTGGGGGGGGAGTGATGATAATCAGGATGCATTGTACTCAAACTGAAAAGTTGAATTTAAAAAGGGATGGAGAGTTTATAACTCAGTGTTAAGACTGCTTGTGAGGCACATGTGAGGCCTTGGGTTTGATCCCCAACTAAAAAGAAAAAATCAAAACAAAAACAAAGAGAAGGAAGAGGAGAATGCGTCCTTCTCCATGAAACGTGTAGAGGTTGCGGGCCTGTGTTGAGTACGGTGCTTCCATGGTGATTCCAGTGCTCTGCTTGTCTCTATTCTATTATTGTTGTTGTTGGTTGTGGCCTGGGCGCTGTCCCTCAGCTCTTCAGTTCAAGGCTACCACTTAAGCCACAGCGCCACTTCCAGTTTTCTGGTGGTTTATTGGAGATAACAGTCTCATGCACTTTCCTGCCTGGGCTGGGTCTGAACCACAATCCTTAGATCTCAGTCTCCTGAGTAGCTAGGATTACAGGCATGAACCACCTAAGCCCAGCTTCTAGTCTATTTTTAAGGGTTAGGGATCTTTTTTTTTTTTAAGTGCCAAAGGCCATTTGGGTTTTTTAACATCATCTCAGGGCCAAACAAATCATCAATACAGGCAGCTGAGCAGATGGCAGTGAATGAGAAGCATAGGAGAAACATACCAGTCTGCCTTATGATCTACCAAATGAATTTGTGGGCCTTTTCTAGCCAGAGACCCAATATTCCCCACCCTGGTGAGGACAGCTAGAGCCCTACCTACTGAGTTCATGTCTTAGTACCAGTGTAGCATTAGGGAGAAAGAAGAGCCCAATTCTTTCATTTTAAGACTTCTTAGAAGTTCCATACAACATCTCCACTTACATTTCGCTTGCTAGTACTGGGGGTGAGGTAGGAGGAGGCTGGAAAATAAAGTTGCATTAGTGGGAAATATTATTGCTCTGAATGAAATAAATTTTTTGTTTTTCCACAAAGAAGAAAACAGAACATAGAGTAGGTAGTTAGCAACCTTTGTCTTAATATTTATGGGAAGAGCATGGTTTTACAAACAAGTCTGTTTGAATTCTAGCTTTATCATATACCAACTGTGACCATAAACAAGTTATTATGCCTCTATGCATCATTTTTCTTCTCTAAAATGGAGCTAATACTACCTTCTACAGTTTTATTCTGAGAATTATATGAAATATTACAGGCAAAATGTCATAGTGTCTGGCATATAATGAATAATAACCAATACTACACATATAAAAGAATCATTACTAGGCCATTGAATATTTACTATTTAGTTAGGTAATCAGACTGATTTACTAATTAGGTTTCCTTATAGATTTAATATTAGTGACCATGTCCATGTGCCCTGTGTTAAGAAAGATCTACCTCAAGATTAAGAGAGAAGACTTACAGCATATTGTCAATGGCACTGACTCCAGGTAATCTTGTTCTTTTAGTTTCTTCAAAGTAATGTTTGTGCAACTGTTTTTAGTCAATCTCCTCTCATCTGTTACCAGCCAGGCTGAAACTCCTAGGAAAGCTAATCTTCTTAGGGCTTAATGAAATACAGCTATTTTGCCAAATACACACAGCTTATGCTTAGGTCTTCTAAGTGGGAAAATTTTTCTTAAGCCACTACTGGTTTCTGTAGCTCTATTTTAGTCTTCTTGGTAGTATCTATTTTCACAATGCTTTTGATTGGTCTTGTACATAACTGGAGTCATAATAAATAGCAAACATATATAGCTCCTAGATCTGAGTGCAGGAGTCCTTTGCAGTTAATACAAAGTTAATACAAAAGGAAAGGCTGCTGGTAAGTCCTGGGTTTTATAATGTCATGCCTTATCGTTTCCTTCTCAAAGCAGGCAAGGAATGCACAAACACTTGACTCTTGGTGGAGTGGGTGCCTTTTGCCTCTAGTTAGCAGAAAATGCTTCATCTTGTGAAGAGAGCTGCAAGGAAGACAGACAGGTCAAATGGTCATGTATTTCAGTTTAGCACCTAAAGAGAACTGCAAGACTGGATCCTACTAGAGGGGGGAAAAAAGACCCAGGTGATTAATTTTTCCTTGAGAGATAATTTTCTCTCATTATATTACACATTACTTCAAGTTGAAACACATGTGACTAATCAGAGAAAATATACTGCAGAATATTTAATCTGTTTAACCCTAAATTATTCAAGTAGCTAAAGGCCATGAGTCAACAAAAAGAAAAAAAGGTATTTCACAGAGACATGCTTCCACTGAGAAATGGGGGTGTATGTGCAGAACTGCCCTTTCCCCTTAGGACAGTAGAGTATACTGATTCTGCCACTCATTAGTCTTATGACCTTGACCTTCAGTCAATTACTTGAATATTACAAGGGTATCCTTCTCAAAAGGGTTTCTTTTCCAACCCTCAGGTTATTTAAGACATGAATGACAAAATACCTGAGATGTCACAGATATTTCTCATTTCAGTGCCCTTTATGCCTCTCATTATAATACAGTCTTTTTTTAAACAACAATTCGTAAATAACTTTAATATAAATGAAAATATAGAAAACATAGTTTGTGAACTATTGTGATATTTAGGTCAATGAAGTTTTTCCAGCCATTTCAGAATCTCTTCTCAAGTAACTATTTTGACTTAAGACAAGTATAATTTAGTATGTTTAATAAGAGATCTTCCATTAATCTATTTAAAATATTCTTGTAAGGAAATAAAGGAGGGAACCAGGCTTGGCTTCAACTTTGGCAGTATAAAAGAACTCTAAGGTATATTAAATAGGTAGGTTTCATTAGGTAGCAGGAAAAGAAATTTACCTAACTGCTGCCCCTGCCATGCATGGTGGAAATGGGCAACTCACTCCCAGGCCAAGGACCTATGTAGGCCAGGGACAGGAAGAGGGTGTCCATACTGGATCTGGATGTGATCTCAGGGCCTGGGACCCTCTCACAGCCAGATGGGAGATGTGATCTTGGGTAGCCCAGGATGTGACCTAGCAGGAGGGGAAGGTGACTGGGCAGAAACTTAGCCAAGAGGTAGGGAGGTGTCTGCACTGGGCTTGCATGGCCCAGGGCAGACCTTACAAGAACAAACTAGAATTCAATACTTATGTATATTGGCTTGCTAGAAAAAGGATAGTCAATTAATATAGTTCCAAATATCAGAATATATTAGCTAAACATAAACTTACATGAGAACTTAAGTTTTAATGAGAAAGTTTTAATTTAATTTTATTATTACCTCCTCTCCTTCTGCCCCATGAATTCCAAACCAATTTTATGGGACCTCATATAAATGAAACACACTAGGAATGGGTCCAACAACTTAAAGGAAAAATTGCAACTGAGTAACATTTATGAGCTCTTTCTTGCTTTTTATTTGTGTATTAATTGTACAAAGGTATACAAATTGCACACTATGATACTTCTCTATGTCTAAGTAATCTTTATACTTTCCCATCAGCTAAACTTCCAATCTCAGGTTTCCAGAGCCTATTTTTCTGCTCATTTGGTCATCAGTGCCAAGAACACAGAAAGCATCTGTTTGTTGTATAGACTCTGAATGCAAAGAAATGTGCTGCCAACCTTTGTTCAACATGCTGTAATAAGGAAGGAAGCAGAATGGGTAACAGAATTTTGGATTAAGATGCAAGGTTAGAGCTGGGAGCTGGTGACTCATGCCTGTAATTCTACCTACTCAGGAAGCTGAGATCTGAGAATCCCAGTTCCAAGACAACTGGGGCAAAGTCCTTGTGAAACTCTTATCACCAGTTAACCACTCAAAAACTGGTAGTGGAGTTATGGCTCAAAGTGTTAGAGTGCTAGTGAGCAAAAGAGCTCAGAGACAGCACCCAGGCCTTGAGTTCAAGCTCCACAACCAACCAACCAAAAAAAAAAAAAAGGAAGATGTAAGTTAGGTTAGGATGTAAGTCAGTGGAAAAGGACCTTACCTAGAATGTCGTTTGGGTCTGTACCAGGAAAAAAAAAAAGGCATGCCAGCCCCAGGACTCAGAAAGTGGGGGAAAGACATTGATTTCAAGGTCAGCCTGGGCTTTTTCTAGATAAAACATTAATCTTACATGTATTAATGTAATCTTTAATAAAATCTTTAATACCCATGTTTCCTTATTTATGAGGTTTAGATCAGCATTGTTTTGCCACACATTAGAAGCATCTAGACAGTTTTAGTGGTTTTATTGTTTTTTGAGGGTGTGAGTGGTAGGTCATGGGGCTTGAACTCGGGGCCTGGGTGCTGTCTCTGAGCTCTTTTGCTCAAGGCTAGTACTCTACCACTTTGAGCCACAATGCCACATCTTCACCTAGACAATTTTACAGAAATATTAATATGAGATCTATCCCGTGAAATTCTGACAAATCGGGTCTACAAAAGAATCCAAGTGTCATTATGGATATATATATACACACATATACATATATATGTATGTATATATATATATCCATGACATACATATATATGTATGTATATATATATACACACACACACATAGAGTGGGGGGGGTTGTTTCTGGTTCTGGGGATAAAGCCTAGGGGCTCTAAATGTTTACATTTAGTGTTCTAATACTGAGTTATACTTCTTGTCCCATTGTTTTTTTTTTTTTTTTAATTGGGTCCGGTCGTGGGGCCTGAACTCTTTGCCTGGGCGCTGTCCCTTAGCTCTTCAGCTCAAGGCTAGCGCTCTACTACTTGAGCCACAGCGCCACTTCTGGCTTTTTTCTTTTTGCTTATGTGGTGCTGAAGAATCGAACCCAGGGCCTCAGGCATGCAAGGCAAGCGCTCTACCACTGAGCTACCTTCCCAGCCCAACTTCTTGTCCCATTGTTTAAAAAACATTTGTTTGATCTGAATGGATAAGAACTGTCAGTTAAAAAAAAAAACCCAACTATCAGTTTAGATGATTTCCAAGATTCCCTCTAGTTCTAAAATGTTAAAAAGAAAAGATTTCTGATATTTACAAGTTTAACAGTTGCATGGGGGGGAGATTTTAACATCTCTTTTAGTAACTGATAGTGTAGAGAAAAATCAGTAGAGGTATAGGTAATTTGAATGATTGTACTTATTACACCCATTTGAAATACTGTAGACACAGAATAATTTAGGTAAATATAATTCACAAAGAGATAATCAGAAAAAGTCCTTCATATTTTGGGAATCAAACACACTTACAACTAATTCATGGATTAAAGAAAGTAGAAGGAAATTATAAAATACTTTCAATTGAATGAAGACAAAAACTAACATACAAGTTTGGTCTCTGGATAGTCTACAGATATGACTTATTATAGTGTATTAGTAGTAAATATAGGTGAATGGATAAATTTATTCAGGGAGTCCATGTAGAAAAGAGCCAGTAATAGAAAATTATCTTACAATATAATAGAAAACCATCTCTTACAATATAGACAAATAGGAGTCAGTAAAGCATAAGGAATGTTTTTTTTTTGGGTGGGTGGGAGGTCTGGTCGTGGGGCCTGAACTCTGGGCCTGGGTGCAGTCCCTCAGCCCTTCAGCTCAAGGCTAGTGCTCTACCACTTGAGCCATAGCACCACTTCCAGCTTTTTTTCTTTTTGCTTATGTGGTGCTGAGGAATCGAACTCAGGGCCTCATGCATGCAAGGCAAGCGCTCTACCACTGAGCCACTTTCCCAGCCCCAAGAATAATGAATGCATGGTAAGAAATAACTTCCAAAAGTAAGAAATAACTTCCAAAACCTAAGGTTCATACTTTAGTAACTTGTGTTTTGGAGTGCGGTCCTCAAGATTAAAAAGAAAAAACCCCAGAAACCTCATCTGCTGCTGGGACCAAGCAAAACCAGACCTGGTCTCATGTACAGCCAGGTTGCCACAAATGTTCGAGGTAAAATTTTCCAAGCCTCCCTTTTGCAGCTGTGACAGTGCAATTGCAGTTTCTCCCAGGGCAGGCAATCCCTAAATATCTATAATGTGCTTGGCATGTACCATATATGCTTAAAAGCTTAGGGATTTGTGCCTAGGGAACCATCCTGGGCCTTCAGAAATCATTCTCATTGGCTGAGGCATTCTTTCTACATGGTGAAAATTAGGACTGCTAGAATGGTGTTGACACATTTCAGATGACTTTCACATTAGACACAAGGTGCTTTGAGGTTACCAGGTGAACAAAAGGTCACTATTGACCCTTAGGACTGAGTCATACAGATGGGGCCTATTTGTGGTTCTCTTTGCTCTATGAGAATGGTAACATCTCTTTACCTTCTCTCTCCCCACAACTACCATCAGGGAAGTTACCCCTCCTACATTGTCATGTGATGTCTACCTCCTCTGAGGCAGTAGGTCCTTATGATCAATGTCCTCTCCAGTGGATAATGATGTTGTGCTTTATAGGTCTGGAGTTAAGACAAGTTGACAGGATAGATCTTCCTTGGGCAAATGAAATCACTCATCTTGTTCCAACCTTGGGCTTTTTGCTGTCCTTCCAGGATGTGACCAATATCTGGAGATCAGCATTTATGAATATAGTACAATAAGTTTGCTTTATTAGTTGATTTATTACATGTAGAGCAGTCAAAATATAAAAAGAATCAATGTAAAACTAAAAAATTGATTCTGACACATGCATTAAGCAGCTCACTTGATGCAAAGCAGCTCATGCAAACCACATATTATTGCCAATTGTGCTTAAACTGTGTGACCTGCTGCTTCCCTGTCCTCAATTTTGTAAAAACATGCCTCCAAAAAGCATGTGGTGTCTAAAATTCAAGGCAAAAGTTATGGTAATTCCCCTAAGTCAAAGGGCGCATTGTGTAATTAATGTAAGTGCCAATGCCCAAAATTTAAATTCGTTGAAAGGCAGATTTATGGGAAAAATAAATCAAGCACCCACATTAGAGTACTGAACTTTGTGCACCTGAGCACAAAGTTTTTCAAGAGTAGTCTCCCCAGAACCATACACCCACAATATCAAGAGACTATTGTATTGTAGCCTAAGACATCTGAGAGGCTATGGTTGGCCTACATGTTTAGTGTTTGTGCTACAGAGGTCTACATGGTTAATAAGTAGAAAATATATTCACTTTCAAGTACACTGAATAGTACTTGCCTTTTTCTGCTTTTGGCAGTCATGGAGCCTGAACTCTGCCTGGGCACTGTCCCTCAACTCTTCAGCTCAAGGTGAGCAGTCTACCACTTGAGCCACAGCACCACTTCTGGCTTTTACTTATGTGGTGTGGAGAATCGAACCCAGGGCCTCATGCATGCAAGACAAGCACTCTACCACTGAGTTACCTTCCTAGCCCAAGTATGTGCCTTTTTGAACTCACCAATGACAGTTAATAAACTGAGTCATTGGAAAACAATATTCCCAGTGGTACAACGATTATATTATGGATGACGTAATCAACATAAAGAAATGGTATAAAAATTGCAGTCCAATATCAATAGTTCTGGAAAGCCATGGCACTGTGAATACTAGCAGCCTGGGTAGCTACTCATATTGCTCATGTGAAGGCTTGATACCTAATATAATGTTCAAAAATGAACTTCCTTGAAGTGATTGGATCATGAGAGTTCAAGCCTAATCTAGTGATGGCTTCATAACTTGATGGCATTGGGAGGTGGTAGAAAGTAGGAGGTAGAGTCTAGTTGAGATATATCCTTCAAATGAATAGCCTCAGTGAGCCATTTCCTCAACTAGACTCCATTGCTTTTATGCTTATGGGGTGCTGGCTCTAGGGTTTGAACATGAAATCAGGGCTTGGGCCCTGTTCCTGAACTTTTTTGCTCAATGCTAGTGCTCTACCAGTCTTGAGCCACAGATCCACTTCTGACTTTTTTGTAGTTTATTGGAGGTAAGTCTCATGGACTTTCCTGCTTGTGCTGGCTTTGAACCAAGATCCTCAGATCTCAGGCTCCTTAATAGCTATGATTACAGGCACGAGCCATCAATGCCTGGCTGTAACACATTTTTGACATATATGCACATATACAAAAGGCAAAATGTTGAACATGACTGAATCCAGTTGGTATGATCAGATGCTACATTATTATACTATTCTGTTAACTCATTTGTAAATTATTAAAGCAAAAGGTTGGGTGTAGAGAGAGACCAAAGTAGAGCAAGGAGATAAAAATACAGGAGGAAATATTTGATATTAAGATTCCAACAGAGGGGCTGGGAATGTGGCTGAGTGATAAGAGTCCTTGCCTAGCATGCATGAAGCCCTGGGTTCGATTCCTCAGTATAACATCAACTGAAAAAGCCAGAAGTGGTGCTGTGGCTCAAGTGGTAGAGTGTCAGCTTTGAGCAAAAAGAACTCGGGGACAGTATCCAGGCCCTGAGTTCAAGCCCTAGGACTGGCAAAACAAACAAACAAGATTCCAAAAAGAGCTATAAGGACTCACTAGCCCAGACAGATGACCACTAAGATGGTATGCATCCCTTTGAGACTAGAAGCAGTGGTGTTCTGACTGAGTATGTATAGGTATGAAGAAGGGAATGCCAGATGTTTTCAATATTCCCCATAAGGTGGAGCAAAGAGCAGGCAACTGGCTGGAGAGAGCAAAGAGAGCGAAGATTTGGAATAGCTGAAGAGAAAAGCAAATAGGTAAAAGACTTCATAGGTGCAGAGGAAGGTCTGGTAACTGCTGTTGATTTGGGCTGCTGTTCTCACTCCAAACAAACCTGTTATAGAATATGCAGGCTTCCAACCATCTGTGTATTCTGCTTCTATCAGACCAAGCCGTGAGTAAAGGGTCTCATTTTCTGCATTTAAATTGTTTACCTCTTTTTTTTTTTGGGGGGGGGTCCAGTCATGGGGCCTGAACTCTGGGCCTGGGCGCTGTCCCTCAGAGGCTCTTCAGCTCAAGGCTAGTGCTCTACCACTTGAGCCACAGCGCCACTTCCGGCTTTTATCTTTTTGCTTATGTGGTGCTGAGGAATTGAACCCAGGGCCTCAGGCATACAAGGCAAACGCTCTACCACTGAGCTACCTTCCCAGCCCTGTTTACCTGACTCTTATCCAGTATACTAAAGTCTTTTCAATTAAGTGGTCTTTTAGCTTTATCTCACAAACTTAGGATAGTTGATTTACTACATAGCTGCTGTTTTCTGATATCAGAACAATTTAAGATTTATGTCTGTTCTTCAAAGGCTTTATTTCTATATATACCTGAGATTTTTAAACTATAGTCAACAGTATAAGATAAAGTGCACAGGCAGGGGAAACAATGTGTTTAAATTTTTTAAGGATCAGTATTACTCCATACATTTCTCTTTACTTCTCTCCAAGAGTTCAAAATGTAAAGAATTACCTCCTATGCCACTGGAGGCCAAAAAGTTTCCAAACACTGTGTTCAATGACTTTTTATGAAAACAATTCAGGTGACCAGGTGCTCTCAGCCATGAAAGGTGGGCGGTTTTCTGAAAATGGAAGGCAAGACCTAACTTCTGAAAAAGAATCAAGTCCAAGAACTGACTCTTTGGAAATGCAGACTGACCTTTCAGAGTTACATTTAGGACTTTTCTGTTTTGCTTTACTCCTATTTTTAAATTCCTTCTTAATTAAACACACACTGGTTCTTTGTTTGACTTGTTTTTGTTTCTTTCTTGGTAACTCTTTTTGATTGGAGCAATTATTGGCATCAAGGCATTTCCTTAGAGCCATGACTTGAAATCCAAGCATATCTGAAATGAATACTTTTTGTGTGGTAGGAGGTACCCATTCATCACTATCAGTCTTAAGGCACTCAGCAATTGGAGAGTGATTGAAAACCTCTGGTGGTGTAATTCTCGACGTAATGTGACTTCTGGACTTCTGGGTAGGTGTTTTAAAATTTTTTGGACAGCTTGGAATAATTTGCTGTTTGTCATTTTCAGAAGGAACTTGTATTTTTTTATCGTTAGCATCACAATCGCAGTAAAAGGCAGTTAAGTTTCTGAAAGTTCCATTTATCCCATGGATTCTTGTTCGGTGGAATCCTGTAACTGGTGTTGACTGTGAACAGGGAACGAAGTCTTGGCTATCTTCAAAATCATATTCTGAATCTGAGTGAAATTGCGGTGGAGGTGAGCATGTTCTTGGATACCTAGAGGCTGACAGGCTTTGTAAGACTTTTTGTGATGACTGGCTAGAGTTTGCAGAGTGTGATCTTGGTAAAATATCAGACTCTGCAGGGCAATTTTCAGTCAAAGATGTTTCCCCCTGTAACATAACATCCTGTGATCTCTTTGTAATTTCTGTTGCAGTATCCATATTTTTGGCAATATTATTGAAGAGATCGGCAGAAGCATTGTAGCTACCTTCAAGATCAGCAGGATAGCTCTGTGTTAAGGTAGTATTGGTATGTCCATTAGGTGTTTCTTTCAGTGTATTAGTACTTCTATTTGGGCTACCATGAAGAGTTTCTAAAGGATATGTAAGTTTTTTGCAAATTGTAAAACTGTCATCTTGGTTCCCAGGCCACTTGTAATACTGCTTCTTTTCTAATTTGCAAGGACCAGAAACACCACTGTACTTTTTGGGACATAATGTTGTCACCATTTCTTTCATTTCTGAATGTGATTGTCCTCCACATGCATTAAGGTATTTAGCACTGACATAAGAATGGTCACTCCCTAAAGTCTGGGGCCTAAGGGAAATTTCATCCCGATGTGAGAAAATCCTGGAAGTCTTTTTAAGAATAATTGTTGTTTCTAAATCTTGTGAAGGGAGAAACTGAGCTGACAGGTAAGTTTTTGATAGGAAATATTCTGAAATATCTTTTTCATTACTGCTTAAAGAAATAGGATTACTGCTTAAAGAAACAGGGTCTGCTGTATTATCTGGGTATAAATCCTTTTGAATACTAGCACTAGCATTTGCTTCACAGTTGGACAAGTAGTTATTTTTGCTGGAGCTTTCTTTGACTGTTGCTTCTAATGATGAAGATATCGGTGGTACTGCTCTGGTAGCAATCTGCAAAGTCACAGATGATCCATTGTGGTCTGCATCACATTTATGGGTGTTACGTCCTATAGCATACTTCCTTCTTTTGGCATCTACTGGGGTTACAGCAATCTCACTTTCAATAACAGCCAAAAACTTGTTCAGGCTTTCAGACAATGGCAGATCATCCCAAATCATAGAATCACAATCCTGGTAACAGCCAGCTGTCTCTTCAGGTCTGCGGGATGAAGGCAGACAGCATGTAGATTTCTTGTGAAGGCCAGTGATGGTATCTATATCAAAGTGCTGGTGGGAATGACTATCCTTACCCTTCTTTTCTGCTGTACTGTTTTTATCCATATATGAAACAAAGCTCCATGAGCCCTGCGTGGGATCATGGCTGCTACTGGTACCAGTGATCTCTGCAAAGGAGGTATACTTGCTGTTTTGGTGAAGAGTCCCAATGGCCATGTTTTGTTCTGAAGCTGAAAATTCACCATTTTCCGTTAGTTGTGAGACAATGGAAGTGAGTTCAAGTGATGGTTGCCAGAATGTTGAAAAATTATTACTGCTATGGGACTCCAAAAGATAGGAAGTGCTATCAGAGCCATGTATGCTGCTGAGATCACTAGATGAGTGATTTAAAGCAAGTAAGTGGCCTTCCGGTTCCTTTGAATTGGAAGACTGCAAAAGACGATGGAAGAAGTCAATAACAGTGAAGCCTGCAACATGTGGGTCTGGTCGAACAATCTGGCAAGCTACCAGTGCTTGGACTTCTCTTTTGTGGTCATAACACTGGTGTAAGAAGTTACTGGAAGCAGAACCATGTCCACATTGTTTTTCAAAATTCTACAAAAGAGTAAATGAATTTAAATGAGAATAACAACTTCTTCCTTTGGTTCAAATTAAGAAATAAGGACTTAAAGCTTTAATGAAATATAACCATAATGCTTCTAATTTCCTTTAGTGTTATAAGGAGAGTAGCATATGTAAAAGAATATAAATCTTGGAATAAAGAGACATCTTCAAGTCTTTGTTCCAGTACTTTCTAGTAGTGTTGGGACCTGGGCAAGTTATTTAATCATTTTAAGCTTCTGTTTTCTCATTTACAAAATGAAGATTATTTAACAACAAAAAAATTGAACAGTTTTCAGCAAACAGCAGTTGTTAAATAGCAACTACCACTGTATTTGAGAGAAAGAAAATTGAAAAGCCAACCTTCTAATAGTTAAAACAAGTAAAGCTCTATAACTCCTTTTCATCCTCTTGACTTTTTCCTTACTCTTCAGTTGTAGATTGCTTTATTCTCTCATTTTTAAATCCTGATTTTGCAATGGGTATTTCCATTTGTTCCCTGTAGTTAAAATTATTACTCCTTTAGAGTCTGTATATAACTCTTTCTTTTCTTTTTTGTCTGTTGTGGGGCTTGAACTTTGGACCTGGGTTGTCCTTCAGCTTTTCAGCTCAAGGCTATCGCTCTACCACTTGAGGTTTTCTGGTGGTTAATTGGAGATAAGAGTCTCATACTTTCCTGCCCAGGCTGGCTTTGAACTGTGATCCTTAGATCTCAGCTTCCTGAGTAGCTAGGATTATAGGTGTGAGCACCGGCGCCCAGCTGTAACTCTTTCTATGGTCCCTTTTATAATTAAGATCATTTTAAGACCCTTCAACTTAGCCTCTTCTTAATATTTCTATCAATACTCAAAGAGATTTGTCTGTGTTACTCTCCCTTTTCCTTTCAAACAAAATAAAATTAAAAATTAGAGAGATGATACTTTGAAGAAAATTCAGAGTGAAATAAAAACCAAATATCAAAATTAAATATCTAACACTTTTCTGAATTTACAACAAATTCATACTTTTAAAACTCTAAAAACATTTGACCTGGGCTTTTCTGACTTTTTAACAAGGAAGTTGTCACCTACGAAGTTTAAATATATCACCTATAGGATATTTTTAAAGTACTTCTATATATCTTCAAACTTACACAACACCTTAAAATGACTTTGTAAATTCAAATTATTTCATTAAATGGGAACTAAGAGAATGCAAAAAAGAAAGTTAGTTTTAATTACCGTCACTCCAAAAACAAAGCTTTGTCCGAGAAAGCATGTTTCAACTGCTTTAGTTAACAGGTTCTGAGTTGTATCATTATCCAGTATCTTTGGAACTTTAAGGTTCTGAATATACCTTGGAAACAAAATAAAAATAGTAAAGAGAGAAGCTTTGAAATTTTAAGTTGTAATCAAGTCAGAAGACTTAGTTAAAAAAATGCAGTTACATACAGAGGAAAATGATTTTATAGCCTGTGCTGGTTGCTCATGCCTGCAATCCTAACTACTCAGGAGGCTGAGATCTGAGGACTGTGGTTCGAAGCCAGTCCAGGCAGGGAAGTCCATGAGACTCTTATCAACAATAAACTAAAAAAGCTGGAAGTGGAGCAGTGGCTCAGGTAGTAGAACACTAGCCTTGAGCGAAAGAAGCTCAGAGAGTGTTCTGGTCTGAGTTCATTTGTGGTGCTGGTACTGCGTGCATGCACGCACAATTCTATATGGTACGTATTTTGTGTTCATAGTTTCTCCTTGCATAGAGAGACAAAAAAATTGAAAGTCCACCAAAATTTATTCAATCAAGTGTGAATGAAATAGATGCTTGCCTAATCTTCAGGCTCAGCAATTACACTAGAAAAAAAAAAAGTAGCAAAGTAATGGTTTTTCTTTTCTGGTAATTCTGGTTCCTCTAGTATCCCCTCCTTCAAATCAGTTTGCCCTCAATTACAAAGACATGAACATAGATTTCCACCTGCTAAGTGATGAGGGAAGAAGGCAGAAGGTAAAGGGCAGAAAGTTTAGTTACTTATGCAGGCCCTTACATTGTCAGGATACCTGGACTATTTTATTAGGTCAAATTGTGTGGAGAAAGTGTAAGTGAAAGAAATAATAAAATTTCGACTTCTGATATGCAAATATTCCCTCAAAAAACTTTCTAAGGAGACCATAAGCAGTGAAATATTAACTTCCCTTTAAATAGTTCTACAGTTTAAAACCATTTTATCTAGCTACTCAGGAGATTGAGATATGAGGATCACAGTTGAAAGCCAGCCCAGGTAGACAGATCTAAGTGATTATTTTCAATTGATTAGCAAAAAAGTGGAACTAGAGGCATGGCTCAAGGGGCAGAATACCAGTTACAAGAGCCAAGTTAGAGTGAGAGGCCTTTAGTTCAAGCTCCTATACTGGTATGTGTAAACATGTGCACACATGCGCACATTAGATTTTATCTTATCTAAATTTCTCTAACTTGAAGTTTTATAATACTTTTATAAAAGCTTACTCTAATAGAAGTAACAGCAACCTGGTATGTATCAGTAAACACAGTTCTCTTTCCCAGTTTTTTTTTTTTTTTGGTGGTACTAGGTACTAGGTACAAGATATCCTATTTGCTAGATAGGTACTGTACCAGTTGAACTATGCTCCAAGCACTTTTTGCTTTAGATTTTTCAAACTGGGTCTCTATCCTTGGATCCTCCAATTTAGACATGCTTCATAGCAGGCATAGCATTACCATATTCAATCTTTTTGGTTGACATGGAGGGCCTCATGATTGTTTTCTCAGGAATGGCCTAGAACCAGTCCTCTTTTAGCCTCTCAAGTATCCAAGATTACAAGCGTGAGCCACCACACAGGGCTCATTTGATTATCTTTTAAGGGAATTGATGACCTTGAGTCAAAAGATCATCTTTTTATTGAAATTACATTAGATTTAAAACACTTCCAATTTTATTGATATAGTATAGGAAAAAGAATGTTTTAAAATATTCTTACCTGTGCAAAGCAGTGGCAGTAAGACCAAAAAATGTATCTAAGCAGCTCCCAAATACAGTGATGACAAACAATTTGTTTGATTCTGCAACTTTTACAGAAAGTTTATATCTGTAACTGGCATTTTCAGCTTCACTAGTATAGCCACATTTTGGACAATTAAACCTAGAAAAGTGGGGAGAAGAAAGTACCAAGATGATCATTAAAATCCATTTTCATTGGGGCTTGGAAGGTGGCTCAGTGGTAGAGCGCTTGACTTGCATGCATGAGGCCCTGGGTTCGATTCCTCAGCACCACATAAGCAAAAAGAAAAAAAGCTGGAAGTGGCACTATGGCTCAAGTGGTAGAGCGCTATCCTTGAGCTGAAGAGCTGAGGGACAGCGCCCAGGCCCAGAGTTCAGGCCCCATGACCGGACCCCCCCCCAAAAAATCCATTTTCATTTGATTAAGTTAGTTAAACCTGAAAAGTGAAAAAAAATCAAAATATTTTATACAAATATTCTTAGTAACTTCAATAACTTTGGAATTTCTTTATGCATAATACTTATTAATTTAAGTAGAATTAGCGATATTGAATTGATAGGAAGCTGATGAAAAATTGTGTGCATGTAGAGAAAGAGTAATAATCTTGAAATCTTTATATATCAAATACTTAACTAATTTCATTTTTAATCACTTTTAACTTTAGTAGAATCTTCAATTTTTCAGATTATAAAATTACATATGATGCCCTCAGTTCAAACTCCAGTACTGTAAAAACAGTATGTGCCAAGTGTAACTTAACAGTCATGTATTTTAAGTCAGCTACCAGGTTTTGGCACCCCAAAAATTGGCACCCCAATTTTTGAGTGACTTGTCTGTACAATTTTGGACTGAGAAAGGAAAAATGTAGCAGGCTAAAATAGAAATCTTGTCAAATAAATGTTAGTTTGCATCTTTCTAATATCAAGTATTGTAATTATTGACATTTCTTTCATCATTTGCAGTAACAGAACTGTGGGTGTCAAGCTCACTTGAGCTATGATCCAAGCCATCCCCTAAGGTGCCTCCCCTCACCCCCAAGCATTTTTCAAGCACTTCAGGAGCTGGCCTTGAACTCATGGGTCCTTCTGCCTCTTGGAATATAGGGATGGACCACTATGCCCCATTTTTTTACATCTACTCTTAGCCTTGTGCATGCCAGGCAAGTGCTCTACCACTGAGTTACATCCCTAGCCAGTATTTTCCTCTTTTTTTTTTTTTTTTGGCTTTTAATACCTTATAATTTTGATTTCCATTTTGACTCCTCATCTAGCACATGGCTTATATTATCATAGCTAATACTAGAACTTTGTTTTTCATATTGCTTGTAATCTGACCTAAAACAGAGTGTCAAAGACGAACAGCAATGTTAAAATCAGATATATAAACTTCCTTAAATTTATTAAGATGGTTGCCAGATAGCCACTAGAGGGAGTAGCTCTCAAAATGACTTTTCAATAAGGCCTTCGTATAAGATATTACTGGTACAACCTGTGTTGCTTTATGTTTGTGTTGCCATACTGTAGATAAAGCTTTCCTAATTCCTTTATATACTTTTATGTAAGGCTGCTGGAGGTTGTACTGTAGGTTGGTCATAGAATCAAGTGACTCACTTCCTTTCAGGGGATACAGTTACTTCTCACTAGTACTAAGCTTGAATGAAATAAATTAAGTGTTCTATATATTAGAATATAAACTAAGTGTTTCAGTATATATTAGAATTTTTAAAGGTTATGTGTAATTATGTCTAATGTAATTTTTCAAGCAATCTCAGTATAATATGCATCAGTGTGTTGTAATTTAGAAATGTTTTCAACACACATTTTACATTCTCTATTTACCCAATTTACAAATGAGGAGATTGGGCTGAAGTTTTGCCCAAGGAGATAAAGTTAGTAAATTCTATGAACCAAATCCAAGGCTTTGTATTTCTAAACCTCAAGGTAAAAAAAAAAAAAGAAAATAGAGTATTGATAACCCAACTAAATGTATACATATTCTATATGTATTTATAAATAAAGTACACATGTATACTGAAGATATTTATTTATATAGTTGGTTCATCTGTTTGGGAATGAAGATGAATTAAAATAAATATTAGTATGGTATAATAGATATTACAGCCTCTCAAACTTAATAGCATTACAAATCATCTATGAATCTGTTAAAGTTTTTAGTCAACAAGTTTGGGACAAGGCCCAGACTTCTGAATTTCTGCTAAGTTCCTAGTTGTACTGAGCTGACCTAAAAGTTCTATAGCTCACACTGTTGATAAGGAACACATTCAAATCACAGTACCTACGCTGATATATATAAACTCTAGAGACACTATTTCTAAAATGAGTTTATTTTTAAAATTTTGTTTTTGTTTTTTTTTTGGCTTATGTGGTACTGAGGAATTGAACCCAGGTTCTCATGCATGCTCTACAAGCCCTCTACCACTAAGCCAAATTCCTAGCAACTTAAAAGGAGTTTATATATAGACTCTACAACATTATGTTATAGAATATCAACCTTCAATCTTTTTGGTCGTATCTTTTACACTCTTAAAATAATTTAGAACACTAAAGAACTTTCATTTATGTGGATAAAAATTTTTAATTGTTAGAAGACCTAATTGATTATATAGTCAAGGTAAACATTATGATTTGAAATAAAAAACACTGCAATGCAATGATTATCATCATATAGCCACCATTACCCATACTGAACACTAGATCCCTAAAACTTGTCCATCTTATGACCATCTATCTATATTTCTAACTGGAGTGACAAATTACATAAAAGTTGGAAATGAAATAAAACTGAGAGAAATTTTTAAAAATAAAATAAAAAATATTAGAATATGAAACAATATTCATTAAAAATACACCCATTTCATGGTTAAAACATTTAAAAATGTAATTATGTCCTCAAAAAATAGGAGAAATGTTTTACATTCTGCAAATCTCTTCAATGTCTGGCTTAATAAATAAACAACAATAACAAAAACCTTCTGGATTTATAAGTCTGCTTTCCTTCCCACTGGTATAGCATCATGTCATCTGGCATTGAGAATCTCCCCTACGTATTCATGAGAGAATGAGAGTAAAAAATGAAAATAATAACTTAGAACCAAACATGTCCCTTCAAACATTAGAGATACAGACTATACAAAATAATGAAAAGCATTTTCCCCCCCCAGTTCTGGGGCTTGAACTCAGGACCAGGGTGTTGTCTGTGAGTTTCTTCTGCTCAAGGCTAGCAGCTCCACTTCTGGTTTTTTTTTGGTAATTTATTGGGGATAAGGGATTTCACAGACTTTCCTGCCTGTGAATCTCAGATCTCAGCCTTCTGAGTAGATAAGATTACAGACATGAACCATAGTACCTGACAATATTTCTGGGATTTTGTTTTGTTTTACTGGTCTGAAACCAGGACTTGAGCTTGGTATCTGATGCCTTCCCTCATTGGCTAGCATTCTACCAATTTAAGTAGGCCTCCAACCTCAAAATCTCTCTCCCCCAACCCAAAATATTTCTTAAGGCTTCCATACAGTATTTCCTTCCTTAAAGAAGTAAGCTATAAACTATGGTTAATGTGCTTGCAACTCAATTGGACTTGCTTAAGTAAATGATACAAACTGGTTGGAAATAGAGGATAGTCTGCTATGATTTTCATTTTAAAACAGGAAGTGTCATATTTGACACTAATGGCTCACATCTGTAATTTTAGCTACTCAAGGGACCGAGAACAGAGGATCTTAGTTTGAGGCCAGTCTGGGCAGAAAAGTCTGTTAGATTCCAATCTACATTTGCACAGCAAAAGCCTGGAAGCATGGCTCAAGTGCAGTGGTATCTGAGCAAGGTTTTTTTAAGACACAGTATCACAAAATAAACCAAACCAAACCAAAACTCATTAGGGACCAAGACAGAAATCTAGACTAAAGGTACTGTAGGCCCCTTGTCCATAATTTCTTTTTTAGGAAAGCACATATATACATTATACATATACTATTTTTCACACACCACAGTCTCTTTGAGGCTAAAAAAGTATTGTATTGAAAAAGCTGGTGGCCAATGGCTCACACTTTTAATCCTAACTACTCTTGAGGCTAAGATGTATGAATCTCAGTACATCTCTGTGTGTGAGTCCTGGGGCTTGAACTCAGGACCTGGGCACTGTGCCTGAGATTCTTTTGCTTAACGATAGTATACAAAGACATCTTCAACAAATTAAAAAAGATATTTAGCTCTAATTAATCAGCAATAACCTCAAAATGGATGTGTCTTAAGTGGTAGAATGCCAGCCAGAACTTACACCATCTTCTAAAACATAAAACTGCTATGGCGGTCGTTGCTAAAGATTTGGAGTTCAAATAAAGCCTTCCTTCCTTGCCAACTTTCCCCATTTTAGCCAATTTCTAACAAGTTTCATTATATAATATTTACTACATATATGTAAAGTATTTTGAAAATAATCATCCATCCTCATTCATTACCTTTACTTTTCATTTATCTTGTTTCACTAAAATTTTACCACATGGGACATAGTACAACTTCTGGTTTTCTCAGTGGTTTATTGGACATAAGAGTCTCAAGGACTTTCTAGCCCGGGCTGGCTTTGAACTGCAATCCTCTGATATCAGCCTCCTGAGTAGCTAGGATTACAGGTGTGAGCCACCGGCACCCAGCTTCCACTAAAATCTTTAGGGAACAGTCACTTTGCTCTTTAGTATTATTAAGATCTTCTGCAAAGGATAGTGTAGAATTCCTTTATAAACTTAATGTGTGACAGCTGTGGGAAACTGAAAGTGAAGAATTTTTTTTCCTGTGTTGGCCAATTCCAAGTAAGAAAAAATGAAAGCAGAAATAAAGTAAAAGCACCAGATGTTATAGGAATACTTTTGTAGTACTGTCCAAGGCAGTATTTAAAGAGAATAGGTTAACTGTTCTGTGGACTGTGTTTCCCCAGGAAATGACCAACAGCTGTGGGGATTTCATGAGCCTACCATGGTCTAGTTAGATCTCTTTCCTAGGGATTTTAAGTAGTTTGGAGGTAATATGGTCATTATAAATGTAGACAGCAGTCAAATTGTTTAGTCTTGAATGTTTCTGCCCCTAATTAGCTAATTGTGTGATTTTTGGCAAGTAGCTTTTCTAAGCGTTAGTTGTTTCCTTGGAAGCTGGAATTGACAGTAGCATTCAATGTTCTGTTAAAAATACCACTATCTACAAAGTTTCTAACAGTGCTGTAGCATGTACCAAACATTTGTTCAAAAAAAGGTGTTTCATGCCTGGAATCCTAGCTACTCAGGAGGCTGTGATCTGAGGATCACAGTTCGAAGCCATCCAGAACAAGAAGTCTGTAAGACTCTTATCTCTAATTAAATATAAAAAAACAGGAAGTGGAGCTGTGGCTCAAATAGTAGAGTGCTAGCTTTGAACCAATAAGAACAGTGCCCAGGTCCTGAATTCAAGCCCCAGAATGTCCCCTCCCTGAACCCTTCCCCTGCAATTTTTTTTTTTTTAAAGTAATAAGATCTGAACTCAAGGTCTCATGCTTGCTAGGCAGGCACTCTACTACGGAGTCACACAGCAAGATAATTTTTTTTGGAGGGCAGTACTAGGGTTTAGACGCTGGGCCTTGTACTTGCTTTTCAGGTGGTAGTCACTTAAGCTACACCTTCAACCATCATAAATGTTATATATTGGCATTACTAGTCAAAGAAGTAACAATGGCATTATACTTCAACCTAAATTTTTGTTAAAGATTGTCTTTAACAACATGAAGAGTCCCAAAGTTAAAAATGTTATACCTACAATATTGCATATAGACAACTAACTATGTATCACAGAACTTTTCTAAGCATGTTATGTAATTTACTTGATCAGGTAATATTTTCTTTCTCTATTTTTAGGCTTATTGCCACAAAGCTGTGAGAGGCAGGGTTAGGATCTGAATCCAGGCAGTCTAGCTCCACAGAATAATGCTTTTAACCTTCATGATATACTGAATGAAGTATGTTTACAAAAGATTTTTAATAAAAATAGCTATCATTTCAGAAATTCTAACATGTCATTTATTTACCAATATATTACTGTGTATTTTCTTTGAAATTATTTTACATTGTAGGTATTACTAATTCATTTTTATAAATGAATAATTAGACTCTCAGAAGTTAAATACAATTGGTAATGGCTGGGAAGGTGGCTCAGTGGTAGAGCGCTTGCCTTGTATGCCTGAGGCCCTGGGTTCGATTCCTCAGCACCACATAAGCAAAAAGAAAAAAGCCGGAAGTGGTAGAACGCTAGCCTTGAGCTGAAGAGCTGAGGGACAGTGCCCAGGCCAGAGTTCAGGCCCCACAACCGGACCAAAAAAATAAAAAAATAAATAAAAATAAATAAATACAATTGGTAAGTATCAGAGCCTACCAAGTCAGACTATTAGTATCAGCGCCTACCTGCAACCTGCTTCTGAAATTTGAAACTGTTAACAATTATACTACACTACCTCTAAAAGTGGATCCTGGTAAGAAAAATAGCCCATGATTCTCAGTCATTTCCACTAACAGGCAGGAACATAAAAATGGGTGAACCTAATACAATCAAGACATTATCAAACTGTCACTTATTCATTTAGCAAACATTTGTTAGATATTTTCTATGAATCAAGCCCTAAGCTGGAAGTCAAAGATTTAATGATGAATAACAGTCTTTTTCTCTCAGAGCTTACAAATAAAAACTTGAGTGGATTAATACAGGAACAGTGATAACTATTTTGAGGATGACTCGATGTGAGACAGAACTGCTAATCCCTCTCCACTCACATTCAGTTCTTTTTTTTGGGGGGGGGGAGGTAGTACTGGGGCTTGAACTTAGGGGTTTCACCCCATTACTTGGTTTTTTGCTCAAGGCTGGTGCTCTACTCTGAGCGATATCTCCACTTCTGGCTTTTTGTTGGTTAATGAGGTAAGAGACACAGACTTTTCTGCCAAGGCTGGCTTTGAACTTTGATTCTCAGATCTTAGCCTCCCGAATAGCTAGGCTCACAGCATAAAACACCAGTGCCCAGTTCACAATCAGTTCTAATGAGACAAAAAGGCCACTTCGGCATGGCTGGCTCATTACTCTTATATTATACTAGGTACTCTGACATGTTTATCATATCTCTAGAGAGAAAACACTTGTGAGGAACTATTACTTCTTCTCTACAAAGATGAGAGCTAGATCCTAAGCTCTCAGCTACACATGGCCTTCACCCTACACCCTAATAAAGAATCATGTGTCAAACACCATTCTAGCTCCTGAAAGATTACTACAAGCTGAGTAGTCAGAATCGAGCTGAAGAGCTGAGGGACAGCGCCCAGGCCCATAGTTCAGGCCCCATGACCGGACCTCCAAAAAAAAAAAAAAGTTTTGGATTTTGGAACATCTTGATTTTGCATTTTTAGATTTGGAATGCTCAACCAGGAAAAGTGTATGGAAATATTTGTATACTTGAAAAATTCTGAGATTAAGAACATTTCTGGGGGCTGGGAAGGTAGCTCAGTGGTAGAGTGCTTGCCTTGCATGCCT